ATGTATATGTGTGTGTATTGTGTAATACGTACATGTTTGTATGTCTTTTAGGCTGTTGTTGAAAATAAAAATAAAAATAAGAACTTGTCCTAAAGTGACTTGCCTTGTTAAATAAAACTTAATTAAATCTGTTCAAAGGGTTCATTGGTGATACTTAGGTCACACCATTTTCTTTTTCTCCAGAAAATATAAATATATAGTTTTAAAAACCATTGCCTGAATAACACTTGTTATGGCTTGAATGATATTTGACATTTTCAAGGTTTCAGAGTTCTTAAAAAGAAAACGTGTGTGGGGTTGACACAATAAAAGCAATGCACTTTAATCACCCACTCCTCAGTTTACATAAAATCCTTGATTTGTTCAGTTCATGCAAGGCCAAATGCATTATTTGTGACACAATCTATTTCCTGGAGTGAATCAGAGCGAGAGACAGTTTTGAGCCAGAGTAAAGTACAAAGGTCGAGGATGTGAGCGGCACAGCATGTGTTTAATGGTTAAATTTAAACCAGCTATTTCCCAGTGATCACATTATACACCACGCATTAACAGCGAATGTCCAGACACATGCTTAAAGGGATAGTTCACTTTGAAATTAATTTTTGGTATGTTTTATCTTACCTCAAGGGCATCCAAGATGTAGATGTCTTTGTTTCCACAGTATTTTAAATTTTAATATTTTTAGGTCAAACCGTTCTTGTCTGTCAGTCATATAATGGAGGTCTATGGTCACCACCTCAAAGAGCAGCACAGAGAAGTCAAAATTAAACATGATTTAATGACTCGGAAATGTACACATTGCACACATTGATGACCTAAGACACGAAACGAGCGGTTTGTGTGAGAAAACGAACAGTATTTATATCGTTTTTACCTCTTGTAACCACAGCCACGTCCAAGTGATCTGAGGGCGTGGGCGCTTTGTGGTTACAAGAGGTAAAAAACAATATAAATACTGTTCGTTTTCTCACACAAACCGCTCGTTTCGTGTCTTAGGCCATCAATGTGTACTTACATTTACGAGTCATTAAATCATGTTTAATTTGGACTTCTCTGTGCATGCTCTTTGAGGTGGTGACCATAGACCTCCATTATATGACTGACAGACAAGAACGGTTTGACCTAAAAATATCAAAATTGAAAATACTGCAGAAACAAAGACACCTACATCTTGGATGCCCTTGAGGTAAGATAAAACATAGAAAAAATTAATTTCAAAGTGAACTATCTCTTTAAAGGAAATGTTTTATGTGTCCACATAGGCTTAAGCACAAGAATGATCATGTTTGTGACTATATTGTGTATCGGTATCTTTTCTGCAATCACAGTAACAGACACTAAAGATACTTCCCACATTATGAGGGCTTTGGGCTTTTCCAGCAGGAAATTCCTATTAGCAAAGACATTTACGAGTGCAGCTTGGGATCACGTTTTTCATCGGAGAACTATTCTACACTGATACATTAATGCACTATATGACAGTAAAACTGATTAATTTTTATGTTTTTCAATCTACTATGTAAGACGTGTGAGCAAAGAATATCAAGACAAGTTAAAACTGCTTAATGCACCATCAGAAACTACTGTCAAGAACAGTGAAACTGGAAGAGACGCACATCAGATGTCAACATTTGCCACCAGTTAGCCAGTTAAGCTAAAATACTGTACTAGTATAGGAACATATGCTCATTAATACGGTCCAAATGAGAGTGTCCTCCTGTGTCATGTGGTGAGTCGCACTCAAAGACCACCCGTGATTTCTTTACGTATTTTAGAAGTCTGCCTAGGCGCCAACGTGTTCGTTTTTATGGCCCTCACTCAGGATGCAGATGAAAATGAGGCTATGTGAACATGAAAATTAACCATGACCTAAAGCCATAAAGACATTGGGCCTCATTCATGAAACACGAGCAGAACGAATTTTTGTGTAAATCATTTGTAAAACCGTTTTGACGTAAATTTGCGGATTCATCAGTGTTCGTATTTAAAATGTTAGTTGGTAGGAAGTTCACGTGCGTAAGCGGTACATTTAATAAAAATTTAAAAAAAAATGAAAAAAAACTTTACATATGAAAACTTTTTTTAAACTCTTTTAGGAAAACTGACGACACTGAATTCTGATGAAACTATGTACCATATTAATAATTCATTTACGTGTTTTCACTGTTATACGGTAGGGGGCGCTGTTACACATCTTCTGAAAGATTACCGAATCTCCTGATCAAAACACAGGGGAATAAGAAGCGGAAACAAGCGATATCCAACACTCTCAGAAAAAAAAAAAGGTACAAAAGCCGTCACTGGGGCTGTACCTTTTCAAAAGGTAAACTTTTGTCCATTTCATGAGCTAATATGTACATTTTAGGTGTTAATATGTACATTTTGGGTGCTAATATGTCCATTTCAGGAGCTAATGTCAATTTCATGAGCTAATATGTCCATTTTAGGTGGTAATATGTACATTTTAGGTACTAATATGTACATTTTAAGTGCTAATATGTCCATTTTAGGTGCTAATATGTACAACTAAGGTACCAATATGCAGCCTTTGGGTACAAAAGTGTACCTTTTGAAAAGGTACAGCCCCAGTGATGGCTTTTGTACCTTTTTTTCTGAGAGTGAAGGGGTAATCCACCAGCCGGAAACTGAAGCTTCACTTGGGAGCCGCCATTGTAGCGAATAACTCCACATCTGAGGCACCCAAAGACTCCATTTGTCCATTATTTATATCTAAAGAAACACGACAATAAAATGCTCTATTACTTTGTATTTTACATTCGTAGAAGCTGTTTTTGTAAAAATAGGCTAGCGATTGCATCATAACCACAGGACTTTCTGTCGCACAATAGAGACATTACCGTATAGACAGGAGAAGTTCATAGGCAATCTTTTGCTGTCTATGAGGCAATCAGGGGGACATGGAGGCATAAAGTCAAGAGAGAAGCCCGTAGATAAAGAGTCCATAAAAGCAATGGGACAAAATATTTCAACAACAGATTTGTTTAAGATTTCAATTCAGATTTGTCTCGGCACAGCAACTAGAAGGTCAGAACGGTTGCTCACGTCACATCTACATCGTCAAGCTTAGTTTGAGTCGGCGCAGTCACTCGGCTATCAGGAAGTGAGTGCTTCTAATGGGCTTCAACTTTATCCAATTTCTTTTACTGTCTATGACGATAATATCATATGTAAAAACACTAAACAGATGCGTAAGTAAAATGATGTAGGGTATTCGATAACCGATAATTCTTTATATTTGAAAGCCGATAACCGATATATCGGCCGATAAATCTAAATCCAATTTTTATATAATTTTTGAAAGCCTGATTGCAAAAACAAAAGTCTCACAATTAAAATCTGTCCCCTAACACAATTATAATGTTCTCATTATAATTTCATGTAGCCGATATGACAGCTCATTTTGCACTTAACTATATTTTCCTTTTTGATTCCAATCATATTTCAAGCAATTAAGATCAATCATATTGAACAGTGTGCATTTTAAGTGTCTCAGGTGTCTAGTGTTGAAGGAAATAATTCATTATTTATCAGCTTTAATATATCAGCAAAATTTTATTATCGGGCCGATAACGATAACATAAAAATGAGTAAATATCGGCCGATACCGATATGGTGGCCGATATATCGTGCACCATGATGCAGTCACCAACATTAAACAGCATATCGTATAAATAAAAACCGCCTAATGTTGCTGAATGAAATCTCGACCCATTTGGAAAGTTGATGGACTTCATCTAGTGAATCCCGCACGGAAGTGACTGCACTTCATCCCCTGGCCACTAGAGACAGGCTCTAAAAGAGAGTCAATCTCATAACCCCCATGTTAAAGTAACTTTTACAGCAGAAAAGAAAATGTTTACAGCCTGGTACAAAAAGTGGTTTTGGTCTATAATGCTAATTTTGCCCTTCATGACGACTGTGAGGGCAGTGAATTATTTTATAACCCATCCGTTTAAATTATATTAAGCCTTAAAGTTGTGCATAATTAAGGGCGTGGCTACTTGAGTGACAGGTGGATTGCCACTGATGTCACTAGCCGTTTATCTGCTGTCTGTTAGCGTCACGTCACCTCAGCTAATCCGCCTCTACCTATTTCCGGTTATCTGGGAGTGACGCGCTGCCAAGATGGCGACGGCCGGCTCCGCCTACTTTGGGCTTCGAAAAAGCTCTTCAGAAACATACGGGTGACATGCATTCTGTATTTATTTAGTCTATAAGTTGCATGAATGAGGTCCATAGAGTGAAATGTACTCTTAGTGAATTTTGCATCACAGTAAAAGGAGACCTGAACACAAATTAAATGTATTTCGGAAAGATATGAGATTGAATAAACAACTGAATTTTCACCCCTTTAGATATCCCATATTTCCTGAGCTCCTGAACTTACACCAACAATCATTTTACTCTTAAGTCAATAACTCGTAACTAAAGTAAATGTAAACTAATGCTAACATTGAGCATAAAAGATAATAAAATACCTTACGTGTTTGGTTTTGTGATACATCCTGCAAGAGATATTTGGTAGGTCTTTTGCAGAGGCAAATGTGAATGAATACAGATTTGTTTTTCAGGCCCATGGGGCGAACAGGAGTGGCAATGTTAGTTTAGGGTGGCTTCATACTCCTATAGATCAGAGCCTAACTCAATCAAAAAGAAACAGCAAAGTCTGCCGTTGGTGATTAAACTGATGAAATAAAATAAATGAACACCAGATGAGAAAGAAAGCAAGTCCCAGGAATAGCTTCTGGAAAGGAAAAAGCCTGGAAAGGCAGGGATCTACATGGCTCTTTCACACACTCACACACAATCGACTGACTGTATGGTGCACATTGTGGCAACCACCACACACACACACATATGGAGGGAAGGTCAAGTGGAAACAGGCAGAGGGTTTTTCAATCAACAAGCTGCTAAATACAATTGCAGATGTGAGGAAGATAAATAGAAGAACACACTGGCAGTGATCACGTTGTGCTTACCAAAGTACTCAGCCTTTGGCTGGACGTCCATCTCCTTTTCCAGGCGCTCAGTTAAAGCTTCTAACTTTATTTCAGCCACAGACGGACCCTGATCCGGCTGTACGTGGAGGGGCTGGCACGGGAGTTTGAGTGTTCGGGAGGGGCTGGAGGACTCATCGTTGGGAGACTCCACTCCTGATGTGGGAGCAGGGATTGTTGGGATACTGGGCGCAGTGTTTTGGGGTTGGAGTGGCTCACATTGCTTCCCTCCATGGGACATTGGAAGTGGGGTCACTTGGGTAAGCGAGGGGGTGCTGATGTTATGACCTGCCCCGTTTAGGCATGTTGGTCCACTGGATGACCACTGGGGAGTTATGGGTTGACTAGCGCTAACTTGATGATATGAATCCATGTATGTTCCTGTGGGCGATTTCCCTGATGTGGTAAAGGTTTGAGGAAAGCCTTGGGACACTGGAGAATGGTTCGGACCAGCTTCATGAGAGCTAGAAGTGTTGGAGAAATGAGATAATGGCATCTGAGACGGGTGACCGCTTTTTGACGCCCATGTGCCAGGAGGACTGGTTGATGGTGATGCCCGGGTTGGCACTGGTATCGGGTTTGCATTTCCAGTCTCCTTGCTGTCGTAACCCCTGATACTGGATCCATCATGTAAGCCGGCTGAATGATGTTTTTGTCCTTCATAAGATATGTATGGAGTCACATTGGCAGTGCCAACCATTGGTCCAGAGATGATGGGTGGTTTGGCTGCTGCTTCACCAGCTTGTCTGTAACTATTGATGGGTGGCCTGTCTTTGGTGTAAAATGTGTTATCTGATACTTTCAGATGACTTCCATTGATCCTTGCTGCTGGCAGGCTTTCGCTTCTTGAGATCTCCTCTTGCTGCTTTTGCATGTGTATTCTGCTCATTTTTGAGGCAAAAACTTTCCTGGTTTCTTCAAAATCCGGGTTGTTTCCTGCATCTCTCTTCACGCGAAATAAGCCGTCTTTCGATGCTTCGTACATATTCAAGTCCTCGATGAATTTACTCGCCTCAAGTCCCAAATCGTCATATTTATCCATGTTTGAAACGGCAAACACACTCAGAAAGTAAGTTTTAAAAACGACTTCTGTCCGCTGAGGAGTTATTCAAACCATTGAAGATGGAAAACTGATGGGGAACAGCTGTTCAACGTTTTACCTGTAGCCTAAAAAGAATCACTCAAACTGCATAAAAACACGTGAAGAGTTTGTTTACACACAGATTAAATCCACTAAAATAACCGCCGCGAAAACAAATACTCCGTTAAGCGAACAATCGCGAGGGGAAAGCTATTTCAAGAGTCAATCTATCAGCCTCTGAATAAAAAAAAACAGCGACAAAAGCAGAAAATCTAAAGAACTAAAAACAACTGAGTGTATAGAAACGGAGAAGAGCAAAACTGCGCTAAGTTTCGGAGGCAGCACTCAGTTTAAGTCTACCGAAACCCGACCGAAAATCTTAAATCTGGACGAGAGCTGGATGAAACTGCTCCTTTTGGGAACTCTTCTCCTCAATGAGAGAGAGATTGAGCGACTCCCGCCTCCGTGCTGCTCTTTGCTCGCGCCCAGTGTGTGCGCGCGTGAATGAAGAAGCGCGACACCAGCTGTGCAGTTCACGAGAGCGCGGAGAGGAAAACAAACACACTGAAGCGGAGAGTTGACTCTCTTTGATAAATATTCATTATCAGTCTTTGGGGTTTGGAAAACGCTTTTCGCTGTTTCGAAAGCTTGTACTTGAAAGAGACGTGTAACTATCGTGCGGTTGCGTTGTAATTTCACGTGATTAGAGTAGGCTAAATTGAAGAGAATTTGCTCACCACAAAACACATGGAAATAATCCAGCACTTTATAGAGAATTTGACATCTAACGTTGATTTTGAGACGTTACCAAATGAGGACAAACAACAAGAAAACTCGCGTGTCCACTCCACAAAAATGCCGGGTTGTTTTCAACGGTCAATTGTAAACCGTTGGGTTCGAACAAGTAAATTGGTCATTCACTTTTCTGTGTAAAAAGTTTGCTTGTCCGGGAAAAATAGTTTTTGTGTGTGTTAATTAAATATAATTTATTTAAATCAGTCTATTCTCATCATTGTCTGCTTTGCAATATTGAAAAAACATTATATAAATTTTTACAAGGCTATATATTTACCCCAAGAGCATTTTGTTTACCTTTATAAAGTGTCAATAAATTCAATTAGAAATAATTAAGATAGGGCTGTACCAATCAAATTAAATAGCCTACACTGAAAAACTACAACAGCGGTAAACAATGTTATGAGATTGTTTTATTTTAGGCTATTTTTTTTGTAGGCTACAAATGAGAAATGTTGGAAAGAATGAACGATTAAACATGAAAGTGAACGGGGTGGCGTCAGATGACTGCGTTTATGAATGAGTCATTGAGTCATTCATTCAAACGATTCGCTCAAACGGCAGTTATGAACATAGAAATGATAAATACATGGTTATGAATGGATCATTGAATCTTTGACTCAACCGATTCGTTCAAAACGCGTGTTGTTGCTTTAATGTATAGCGGCCTAAATAAAACCTCCATTTTGAGCACGCTCCCATAACAACAGTGCAACATTACTACATTAAATTGAATTAAAATAAGATTCATTCGCACGTTTAGGTGATTCCCTTTTTATTATGTTTTAATCAGGATACTTCAGTCATTACTAAAATTCTCTTTCATTTGCCCCTTCAAATCCACTTGTCACGGACAAGTATTAATGTCTGGCCCTGTGAATGAATTAATGAATGTTTTGCATAGTTTTCACATTTAGTTCCAAAAAGAACGTTTTGTCATAATTTATTGACCCACCTCGTTCCCAACCTGAATGGCTTGCTTTCTTCCAAAGACCACAAATCATGTTATGGACCTCCAAAAACAAATTTAAAAAGCACTGTAAAGTACCACATGCTGTATAGTCCAAGTCGTTTGATCAAAGTTAAGTTCCTCACTGACAATCTTTCCTCTTATAGCTTTCAATCAGTAGCTCTTCTACACATTTTATCTTTGCACTTTACTCATCCACTAAGTTAATCTACCAATTATTTAATATAACAGCTACATTTTTTTAAACGATTTATTCAAAAGTTGGACTATACTTTTAACATTGCTGTTGTTTTTTTTCTCGTTCACAACATAAGATTCACATCATGCCTCATAATGTTAACAAATACACACAATTCACATGTGTATGGCAGTTCACTTGGAGGACACATCATCATGACCTCATCTGAAGACAAAGTAGCCAAAGCTCCAGAACAAACTATGATGGTGTGAAGAGGAAAGTGAAGTGATAGATAACGGCACTCATGTGATCAGCTCCACAAGCCAAACATTCCTGAAGCAACATTATCTGCAGTGCGAAGAGCGACAGAAACGCTTTCCCCTATTAGCACACACACACACGTCCCACAACATACACTGACACTTTAAAAGTCTGTTGGGGAAGGGATTTACTCATAAATTAAATTTGTTAAGATACAGTCAAGCCACACTTTAGAAACAGCAAGATGCGTGCTGAAACAAAAAAAAATGCAATAATGCACAATTTTAACGATCTAATTTGGCAACAACGCTTCAAAGTGGAATGTAGCTTTTTTTTTTTTGCGCCACTTGCTGGAAAAAGTAGTTCGCTTCTGAAAAAAGCTACACTGTTTTAAACGCAACTGGGCCACTAAAAAATGAAGTTAAAGGGATACTTCACCTCTGGAAAAATGTATTAAAATGGTGGACAAATTATCATGACGGAAATGACGTGTTAGGGTCCAATCGAATCGGCTTGAGCCAAGGAATAAGAGGACAAAGGCATTGTGATTCTAGCCATTATGGTCCAAAAGTTATTAGCATAAACATGAGTGAACACTGGTGGCGCTAGAGGGATTGAGTTGTAGACTCCAAATTTGCTATGAAGACTTTTCAGACTGTCCTCTATCAGTGTACCAAATTTCATAACTTTCCCACAAGCGGTTCTATGGGCTGCCATAGACTCCTAGTCAGAAGAAGGAAGGAGAATAATAAGAACGCTAACAGATACACCTTCGGTGCTTGGCCCCTAAAAACATGAACATAAGAGACCACTAATATGAATACAGTAAGTAACACAATACACAGGAAACGAATACTCTAAAAATATCAAGTTCACAAGTCACGTCAACTGGGACAAAAAAACCCTTCCTCCTTTTAAAGTCAGCACATTTGAGGAATGTGGGACTTGTGGGATTTTTTTTTAGGTTTTATTAGTGAGTCACTTAGATAAGGCCATAAGGGACAGCAGTGGGGATCAGTTTCAGACTGCATTATGTGTGTCTCCTGCCTAACATGACGAACAACAGAGGTACTGTCAGTGAGTGTCCCAGGACGTCAATACCCTGAGGGAATAACACTTCATGGGACGTGAAAAGCTTCCTTTATGCCAGTTCCCACTCAAGTACTGAGACATATATTCACTGATGCATTTAGAGAAGGTCAACATACAAATGAACCCAGTGGAAACCCATTTAACTGGAGTGTGGTGTCCGTGTACGTCGTGTCATTGGGTTGGGCTGCCGAGACTGAGAAAATGGGGCCAAATTACTCCAGTGTTGAAATGTGATGACTCAAGTGTCTCCGCTCGCGTTTCCAAAGGGAATGACGGGCATTGCTAAAGTAGTCTGACATGAGGACCACCTCATCATAGTCTTATAAAGAAGAGATCTATTCATTACCTTCAGATTATTGTTGTGTGGAAACACTGTCCCGACTATTCACGAAGAATGGAAACATGATCTGTTAGGCTCCCCAATTTAAAAGTAAAAAGATAGTTCACCCCAAATTTATGATACCATTTTATCCAGCATAGATGAACAAACATTCTGTATCTTGTCTATTGTGTGCACAATTTTCCAGTAGCACCTCATGGCGGAGATGGATAGGATTAGGGGTGTGGTTAGGGTCAGGGGGCGGAGATGGGTGGGATTAGGGTCAGGGGCGGAGATGGGCAGGATTAGGGGTGGGGTTAGGGATCAGGGGGCGGAGATGGGTGGGGTTAGGGTCAGGGGCGGAGATGGGTGGGGTTAGGGTCAGGGGCGGAGATGGGTGGGTTAGGGTCAGGGGGCGGAGATAGGTGGATTAGGGTCAGGGGCGGAGATGGGTGGATTAGGGTCAGGGGGCGGAGATGGGTGGGATTAAGGGTGGGGTCAGGGGTGGAGATGGGTGGATTAGGGTCAGGGGCGGAGATGGGTGGGGTTAGGGTCAGGGGGCGGAGATAGGTGGATTAGGGTCAGGGGTGGAGATGGGTGGGATTAGGGTCAGGGGGCGGAGATGGGTAGGATTAGGGCTGGAGTTAGGGTCAGGGGGCGGAGAAGGGTGGGATTAGGGTCAGGGGGCGGAGATAGGTAGGATTACGGGTGGGGTTAGGGTCAAGGGCGGAGATGGGTGGGATTAGGGGTGGGGTTAGGGTCAGGAGATGGGTGGGGTTAGGGTCAAGGGTAGAGATGGGTGGGATTAGGGGTGGGGTTAGAGATGAGTAGGTTTAGGTATATATAAGGGGGGAGGAGTTAGAACTGGATTTCGTGTATGCAGTGAGGACCATCTCCAATTTTCACGCTGAAATTTAGTAAATTTCACAAATACTTGAAATTAGAAAAAAATATTGAATTATTATTATATCCTCTAATAATCTTTATTTAGGCTACAACTTCAAAAAAAACTTTTTTTATTTGTCTAATTGCAATACATAATATATTTTTCACTCAATTTTTTGTATTGTGTGTTTTTTATTATTTCTTTCTGTATACTGGAAGCATCACCATATATATATATATTTTGTGTGTGTGTGTGTTTATAAGCATATTTGGCAACAATTCTCATTCAGGTTATGAAAAATTAAAATGAAAAATCATTTAGTTAACAGTTTTGATTAGAAACATTGCCTAAAATCTCTTATTTTACTGTATGCTCCACTAAAAGAAAAAGATTTTGATTTTAATTTTTATTTAAGAGTAATTTTAAATTAAAAAGTCATAACTGGATCTTCCAGAGAAAGAAGATGTCACCTCTTTTAGTCCCCTTAAACTCCGCCTTTCTTTCAATGCTTAATAAGTCCCACATTTTTATGTTTTTTAATAATCCGTTTCACTCAGATGTACATCATTGCATCTTGATTTCAACATGTGCATTATCTGAAACGGAAAGTTTTTAGTTATTGCTGATTTGGCTTGTTATTGCAATATAGGCTTAGCAAACAGTTTTGAAGATTTTTGCCTATTCAAGTAGATAAAGTACAAACTTGCTTGACATAACCAAAGGATAAACTGGCTGCTTCCCCCGGAAGTATGTGTTTTGTCTGTGTTTTAGGAGTGTGGTTAGAGCAAGAAAAGCAAATTGTGAAAGTAATTCTTATCGGTCAATCCACAAGTTTCCGAGGGGCGCTCCTGTAAAAAATAAAGTGGGTGAAACTTCCGGTGACGCGGCGGAAGTAGCATTCCAATGGTATTTTGTGTGTTAGTTAGCGAAGAGGCTAGCTGTTTTTCGGAGAATTATTTTACTATTTAAAGACACAAATCTTTATGA